AATAAAAATAAAAAATGGATGGATGTAAAAAAATTTACCTAACTACTTGGGATATTTCCGTTGATAAGTAAAAATTTTCAACATAAAATTTGAAATAAAAAAAAGAAAAAGAAATGGTATATCACCTAATCCCATCATAGCGAGACAAATTAGAAGATGATTCAGACAATGCAAGGACATAGTACGCCGGTAACCCAAGGGAAAATGATGGCAATGAGACCTGATATAACATGCAAAGAGAATATGGAAAGAAAATCCCTGAACCAGATTAATTCTACTTTCTAGCTAAGCAATGAAAACAAATAGGCAGATAAAATATTTGGGAGAAGATCACCTCTGTCACAAAGCACCCTAGTTCTTCCAAATGAGTAACAGCACCACGAACTGACAAGATTACTTCTGGATCAACCCCATCACCAAATGTTTCACAGATCACTCCAACTCTCAATCCTTTCAAGGGTTTGGATTCCAAGTAATCTTTCCCAGCAAACTGGGATGTGAAGTCAGGTACTTCCTGAAAAAGTATAGCTTGCAATAAGATCTTACAAACTAAATTATCAAGCTCTATTTAGTTTTTTCTATTGCAATCATTATTGATAAGATTATCAACCTATAGTTTGACCTGGTTATGGTAATTCTTCTTTTCTGTTTCTGTCCATTTCTAGGAGGCAGTGACAGTTAACTTTGCCAGACAAATAAAAGTCCTGGTGTCAGGTGGCTTGACAATTACAAACCCCAATGACATGTTTTTCAAAAATGCCTATAGTTTTGTAAAAAAATTCAGATTCAGATATATTGTTTATGTAGATGCAGTCTTTGCCTCTAATCACATAATATTTTCTCTTTTATTTTATAACATCATCTCGATTCCTTTTCTTGTTAAACTAACACCTAATGAATTATAGCCCCCATTTGGCCCCCATTTTTATTTTCCAAATTTTAATGTTTGGAATAGTGTTTTTTTGAAGAATGTGTAGTTGAAAAAGAATGAAAAGTTTTCAATTTACGTGTAAATTTTATGGAAGATTGTGTGGTTTAAAATAAGAGATGAAAAAAATGAAAGAGAATGAGAGCCAAACGGGAGCATAGATTCAATAGTATTGAGGTACAAAAGTCAAGTTCAAGTCAGTTGATGATGCAATATAATTGAAAGGTTAATTAGCACAAAACGTCCCTACTTTTCATGATTTTTGTGGAAAACGTCCTTACCTTTCTTTTTTTGGCGCATTTCATCCCTACCTATACCTTTTCTTGTGCAAAACATCATTTTCATCATTTTTCTCAATAAAAAGCTATAAAA